ATTTTTTCATATATTTATATATATTATATATATGTTTATATCAAAAATATATCAAAATGCGTGTGGGTACTCAAATGAAAGCTCTTGATGAGTGTAACATCAGGATGAGCTTATATCATTAAAAATGTCAATAGTGAAGAAAGTACAGCGCAATTTAACAAATATCTTGTGAACTATTCCCATTTTTAAAGATATAAGCTCATCCTGATGTTACACTCATCAAGACCTTTCATTTGATTAGCCACATCAATTTTTCATATATTTTCATATATTATATATATGTATATGTGAAAAATATATGAAAATGCATGTGGGTACTCAAATGAAAGCTCTTGATGAGTGTAACATCAGGATGAGCTTATATCTTTAAAAACGTCAATAGTTAAAAAAATACAGTACAATTTAACAAAAGTCACTATCTAATATAGCAAAATTTTATTTATTTATACTTTCAAGTCACGGCAGTGCTAGTTTAAATAAAATATATAACATGTTTGGGGTAAGAAAAAAAATTCCAGGGGAAATAACATTGATTGAACCACCCCTGTCGTCTAATTTCAAACTGCTTACGATTACTTGCATTTTGTCGCTTCAATAAATTTTTTCCAATCAAAACATTTGACTTATTTAATTATTGTAACTATTACAGCATTAATAAAAAAACTTTTTTTACCAAATCATTGACACCCCACTGTCGAATAAAACGATAATAATTTACTATAATCAAATGAAAATAATATAACAATTCTAAAAAAATAAAATTCTTGATAGTAATTAAATTATTTACTTATTTTTTCAGGCGAAATGATGGACGTATTAGCTCTAATAAATTCAGCGATAAACTTCATCCTTTACTGTGCAATGAGTCGTCAATTTCGAATGACCTTTAGCCAATTATTCTGCAGATGGAAGTTATTCGGAAGATGGACGCCTGTTCCGCAGCGGCTGGAGAACAATGGTCACACCGCAACTACTCACACGATGACCCAAGTTACCCAAGTCTAGCATCCGCATAATCATCAGCATCATACTTTGTAATTTATTCTCATTTATATTTCCTTAAAACAATTTAACTAAATAAAAATATCACAGCTATCATTATTTAAATTGTTTAAAATAATATTATTGTTGTGATATTGATTTATTTAGTTTATATGCAATTTCCTTATCATCATTACATCTCGATTGAACATAGTTGTATAAATATCTTCAGAGGGCTATTCAAGCGTGACTGCATACTATATATGTCCTTCAAAGGTAGACCCGAATTAAATCAAAGCGGATTATTTCTTCAGATAACATCTATATTATTTCAGCGATGAATGAATATTTTATTAATAAATTGTAAATGCATCTCTGTGGAAATTTAGATTCTGGAAAATAATCTCTTTGAAGAGAATGTATAGATTTTTTATATGATCTAAAATTCGTATAAAATGTTATTGATATAAGTTGAATAAATATATTAAAAATTTTGAGAAAAATAATTTAATGATTTTCTTAATACTAACAGAAACGCTTTCAAATTTTATAAAAAAAAATATTCAACGTAGACATTTTGTTTATTTTATTTTATATGAAAATTAATTTAGCAGATATTAATAATTTTTAGAATTTTTTTAACAAATAAATTACGGTAAAAAAATTAGAAAAGAAATTTTAAAAAATTATTAATGCAATTTTTTAAAAATAATTTTTGCAACAAATTTGTTTGTTAAATAAACTTAAAAAATGATCGAGTGACTGCTAAACTTTAATGTCATTTATTTTATTGATATTATGTTGGAAATTTTTTATCTTTGATTTATTGAATAAATTAAAAATATAAATTTGAAAATTTTTAGGAAGACCAAAATTATTATTAAACAAGAAGAAATTTTATTAGCACAACAAATTTTCAGATAATATTAATCCAGACAATTTATTTTGAAGGATTTCATATAAATGTACATAAGATAACATTTTTATATCTATTTATAAATCTATAAAAAACAAATTACAAGCACATAAATATATAAATATATTTAAAATTATATAAATATTAGTTTTATTGTACTTGTAATTTATTTTTTATAGATTTATAAATAAATATAAAAATGTTATCTTATGTACATTTATATGAAATCCTTCAAAATAAATTGTCTGGATTAATATTATCTGAAAATTTGTTGTGCTAATAAAATTTCTTCTTGTTTAATAATAATTTTGGTCTTCCTAAAAATTTTCAAATTTATATTTTTAATTTATTCAATAAATCAAAGATAAAAAATTTCCAACATAATATCAATAAAATAAATGACATTAAAGTTTAGCAGTCACTCGATCATTTTTTAAGTTTATTTAACAAACAAATTTGTTGCAAAAATTATTTTTAAAAAATTGCATTAATAATTTTTTAAAATTTCTTTTCTAATTTTTTTACCGTAATTTATTTGTTAAAAAAATTCTAAAAATTATTAATATCTGCTAAATTAATTTTCATATAAAATAAAATAAACAAAATGTCTACGTTGAATATTTTTTTTTATAAAATTTGAAAGCGTTTCTGTTAGTATTAAGAAAATCATTAAATTATTTTTCTCAAAATTTTTAATATATTTATTCAA